AAAACTCACTTATCAAACGGAGCTAGAGTAGATTGATGATTTTAAGATCAAACAGCTGTGAAATACATCTATCTGATTAGTTAAAGTAGCATAGAAGGGTATAACACCCAAGGATGCCATTTGGGAAACTAAGGAGAAAATGAGGCAGTTATATCCTCAGTTGTTTGATTAGGTAAAAGTGCTTGAAATTGATATGTTATGTTATGTTTAAAACTAATTTCGTATGAAATTCTAGCATCTTAGTGTGTTATTTTGCTTGTTTGTGTGTGAATATGATCTACTTGCCTAAATTTTGAGGGAAACATTCCTATAAGAAGGGAGAGTTGTAACATCTCGAGAAATGAGACCTTAGTGAAATTTGAGAATCTGAGAGTTAGGGAATTGATTGGGGGCTTAACATCCCTTAGGATAGGGTGTTAACCTTAAGTTTGGGGTTGAATGAGAGCAGGAAAACTTGACTTAAGTGGGGCTGAACTATGATACTTGTTAAGGTGAGTGGGACACCTCACTAAGATAAGCAATGCATTTTGAAAAAATTACAAATAGATGTCTCAGCCAAAAAGTAAAGCCAAAAATCATTTTTAAACATTTTAGAGGTACAGTTTATGAGTTTTATTTGCTAGGGTTGGCCTCCAGTGACCTAAGGAGCCCTAGTCAAGTTGGATTTTACTAAGGTAAGTCCTCTATAACCAATCTACACCTTCTATATATCTGTTCTATAGATCTAATGTTTAAGATCTTACCCTGGACTAGGATCTTAGATTTGAATTCTTAGAGTTCATCCATGTGAGTCTCAAAAATAGTTTTAACTAGGTTAATTATTTATATAAAAAATGTATAGTGTTAGCTTATCTTATAAACTATTGGGATACAAGTATGATAGAACATAGGAGTAAGAGATTAAACTTTTGATCTCTTAAAGGTTTGAGGTAACTAGGGATTTAAATTAATATATATTATAGTTTGTAACATTGCCTGGGAGATTTTTTTTTATGCTATCTTACTTATTAATATACATGTTGCATTTGAGATATGAAACCTAAATCTGAGTAATGATTTATGTACCATGTGACATTGTGATCGTATTCTAGATATATGAAACAAGATTAATTATTACAAAAAATTCCTAATTTGATGATATGCTTGTATAAGAAGTCTAGAATTGTCAGATATTGAAATTGCCCTATGATATATGAATTATGTATCAAAATTTGATATGAGATAGATATGCATATGGGCCCTTAATTATCTAAATGCATGCATAAAGGAAGGAGTTCACCTGTAAAGGAGTTGTAAAAATAATGGAAAATCCATGGCCTGCCCTACTAAGGTTGCCTTTCAATATTGATTTATATGAATATGTTTATGTGTGCTTAATTTCACTACTCAGATTAGTAATGTTCGTCTAGCACTTGCTCAGGTTCATTGCTTAGATTGGCAGTGTTGGTTGGGCATATCATGACACCTTGAAGTTTTAGTAAAGGGAGCCATGGTCTAAACTGGAGTAAGGAAGTCTTTAGCCTGGCAACCCCTCTTAATTTGGAGAGCAGAACTAGCCCAGTAATATAGACTAGACCTAAATTGAGTTGCTTATGAGTTCAGTCAAAGGTAATAAGAAGGTTATAAAGGGGATTTGAGAATGCATCATTTGATACTTTTTTTTGTGAATCATCATGGAATTAAATGATTGATTTAAACTTTGAAATATATTTTGTATGTGGTTTAAGCTAAATATGTGGATTGTGTGAATTGTATGTTATCACTATTTCATCTATTGATTTAAATATCCTAGTTACTGACATTTTATATGAAATCTCACCTCATTACATTTACTTGTTTTCAAAAGAAGAAAAAGGAAATGAGAAAGCTGAAGCCTTAGGAACCCGATACTAGAGATCTTTACACTCTATTGATTATTGTAATGAATGATTATTTTGAGATTCTACCAACTATAGGGGAACTTAGCTACATGTTTAATACACATTAAAGTTTATATCTTGATATTTGAATTACTTAGGCCTAAACCGGTGTTAAAGGTCCTTATTTATATTTTTTATTTAAGATATTTGAGTTGAGTTTTAGCTCTATATTACCTATTGAACTTTGATTTAAATTAAGAGCATGCTTGGGAAAATATTTTTGAAAATTATGGTTATGTAAATGATTTTGATGTTTATAGACATGAATTTGTTGTCTAAAACTACTATGCATGAATGAATCTGGACGAGTGATATGTGCTTGTTGTCGAGGCAAATAGGCACAAGCCTAGGCGAGCAAGTGACTTCTCCCCAATATGAGTAACATTTAGGCTAACATAAGTAGGGTTTGGCTTGCTGAGGCTAGGTGATGGATTGGTCAGGGTGAGTTTCGAGGTTGAAACAAGGAAGTAACTTTTATGAGCCATAATGTTATTTTGATGACAACCATGTATGTAATTGACATGTATTATTTAAGGATAGTAAATTGTAAAGGCTAGCGTAAGTTGTTGAATTGATAATATTGTATGGTGTGTTGGGAGTAGTAACTAGGGTTATTACACAATACACCTTCAAGCTCAATCTAAAGACTATTACCACAATTAATAAGCCCATTAGTCCTTTTTGATCATCCCTAAATTAAATAGCACACAAATTTTATCTAATTAACCTTGATTAATTCATTTAATATGAGGATTAAAATTTTGGATGTTACACATCAGTCGTGGATCAATCTACATATTACATAATCATCATCATTAATGACTAATTAATATAGATTTTCTCTAATTAAAGTTTAACCTCAAAAATCCCATTGCAGTCATTTACCAAAACCAAACCCATTTCTAGGTTCCATAGGGTCACTTAGACTCCTATTAGTCTAATGAACACTACTAATCACCCTTAACCTCACAAACTCAATTAATTAACTCTAGGGTTTACCCAAAAGCCTACTTTAAAACCCTAAATCATCATTAGCATCATAAACCTTTGGTTAGACATTTAAAAAAACATCCAACAACTCCCCTAGGCCTTGTTTGGATTGTAGGTCTCAATTTAGAGGGATTGGGATTGGGAGGGGAGTGGGATTGGAATTGGGATTGGGAGTGGGAATGAGGTCTTAAAATCATGTTTGGTATGGAGTAATACTTATGAGGAATACTTCCTTTTATTTTATTTTATAATTACATATAAATTATGAAAGGCCATAATACCTCTTGAAATTAAAAAATGATTAGAAGCCCTTTGAAGAAGCCATTGGTTCTGAAGCAATTTCAAATGTTCTTCGTGTGCGTCCTGCAATGACTTCACCTGGCAGATTGAATCTCGCCAAGGTCGCCACCAGTGGAGGAGAGGCTTGGGTCATCGATCATTCTCCTTCTTCTTTCTTCGTCGATCTCCGTCTCCCTTCAGATCTAGCGGTGGCACTTGTGGAGGATGGTGTTGGCGTCGATGGAGGACTGCATTAGCGTTGGCGGATGAAAGGGGTATCGGCGTCAGTATTGCTTGGTCTGAAATTGCATTGAGTGAGTGAGAGCTGAGGGAGAGAGATGAGGGTGAGAGGCGAGGGTAATTTGGTCTGAAAATAATCAAACCCAAGATTAATTTTTCAATACCATGGGGGGTGGTGGTATTGGGTAATCCCACCTAGGTAGGATTGGGATTGGGATTAAATTTCTCACTCCCTTATGCCAAACATAAAAGGTGGGATTATTCAATCCTAATACCAGTCCCACACTCCCAATCCTTCCTACCAAACAGGGCTCTAGAGTTAGATCAATAGATGAAAAAACACCATTTTGGAACTCCATACACTAATACCAAGAAACTCACAATAAAAATGCATAAGGATGAAGATGTTAGAAGAATTATCCAAGAGTTTAAAGGCTTCTAATAGCTTCAAATAGCTAAATCTTATAAACCTTAGTAGAGCTCAGTCAGCTCTTTCAATCTCACTTGCCCTCTCTATCTATTTTTGACCAAAAAAAAATGCATATATAGAAAACTTAAATTTTAAGTGTTGGTTGTGGCCAAAGGGACCTTAGGCTATATGCCAAAGGCCCAAAATCAAGGGTTCAAATGTGGTCAATCTAATTGGACTTAAATGTAGCCCAATACCATTAGGGTCCAATTCTAATACCTAATTAAGGTCTAATAGACCCAATGATCATCTATATACAATACTTCTATAGCACGTTTGCACATGACAATTCAACAAGATTTTGTTAAACCAAATATAATTGTTTTAATTACTTCCTGATGTTTCCAACATTGGTGATTTGATAATCACTCATTAGTTGGTCAAAGTAGTTGGTTAAAATGATACTTTTATATTTTATATGAATAAGATATTATTAGTCTACTAGGATTTGTTTCTAGTTTAAAGGACTTAATTAGTATTAATTTTTGTTTGAGGTTTTTTTTTTTGTTATTTTTGTTGGTCATTCTTTGTAAATTTATGAGAGGTAATATTGGGTTACCATTGACTTGACGATGCCCAACACACTTGAAAAATCAATTTCCAAACAATTCCATCAAGCTTCTTAATTACCTTCAAATCCCTAGCCCACCACTTTCCAAACACCAATATTTAAATTCATCATGCTTTACAATTAACCCAACTCCCCAACAATTTAGCTCTAAGGAATAAGATATAAATTCATTTTTTCTGCAGCCACGGAAGCAATTATAATAAATTTTACCTACCATGAGCTTCCTACTCCAATTCCACCCTCACTCACCTCGCAAACAGTAGTAGCGAAGAAGAGGAAGAACTAAAGGAAAATCAAAGCTCCCTCAACGAGAACAGCAACAATGACATAGGGAAGAAGAAAAAAATTATTATTAATTGCATTTTGAAATACCCAAAATGTCTTAGGGAATAAATGATAAATATTTAATTTTTTGATATTTAATTCTGGGACTCAATTTAACATAGAAACCATCAAATCGTGCAAATACTACTGAGACTGAGAATCCAGATAGCAAGAAGCTACTCCTTGTTAAAAATCCATTTATTTCTCAACATCATTTTCTCCTTCAACAAGTAAGAAAATCAAGTCCAGTCAATCTGATGATCTGCTAATAATTTACTTGCGGTTGACTTGGAGCTTACAAACGTGTTCAATGAAAGCATCGAGATTGACTTGAGTAGAACCACCAGGAGCCACAGCCTTCAAACAAGCCTCACGAAGCCCTTTAGCCTTCTTCCTCATCTCCTTAATCTCATCTTCCTCACTATCCATGAATTTCCTCACAAGCTCACTTATCTCCTCTCTGCTTACAAGTCTCTCCAACCCAATCTTCTTCCTCACCCTCCACCCACTCTTCCACTCATCCACTATCCTCTTACTGTTCGGCACCTGGTCCCAGAATATCGGAAACGTCAGGACCGGAACGCCGGAGAACGCCGCCTCCAGCGACGAGTTCCATCCACAGTGTGACCAGAACCCTCCGATCGCCGGGTGGCACAATACCTTCAGTTGATCAACCCACGGCACCACCATGCCTTTTTCCCCGAGCCTGTCCTTGAGACTGCTCGTGTCTCCACGCGCCACCCAGAGGTACGTGACTCCACTGCTCTTAATCCCGGCCACGATCTCGTCCATTTGGGTGTTTGAGGCGGAGAGGAAGCTTCCCTGGGAGATGTAGAGGACGGAGGCGTCAGGTTGGCAATCAAGCCACTTGAAGTAGTCGTTGGTGCTTGCAGCGGCAGTGGCGGTGGCGGCGGCGATGGCGGGGTCGGTGAACTTGAAGAAAGGGACGCTAGGGCCCACGGGGAGGACGGGGATGTTGTATTTGGATCGTAAAGCGTTGACTGCTTCGGGTTCGAGCTCGTAGGCGGTGGTGAACATGAGGCACAGTGAGGTGGAGACCAATCGGACGGTGTCCAGGGCACGTTGGAGGAGTTTTAGATCTTGACCGTGAAACACAGTTGGGAGGTCTCTGATTTGTGTTGGGGCCATTCCAGGAATATAGTCTACAATTTCATCTCCCATTTCTGATACATAATTAACACCATAATCTTATTATCACCAAAAAAAAAAACAAGAAAGAAGAAGAAGAAAAGAAAACAAACGTTACAGAACAAATCAAGTAATGTTAAATTATGAGTTCGTAGCATATGACTTGAATCCTTGAGGACGTCCGACCACAAAGCTACTATGTTTCTCTTAACAGATTTTAGTTTTCTCGCTTCCAAATATATATTCAGATATGGTTTATAATAATAATAATTAGTTGAGGTGAAGTAGTGCGTGCAAAGGCTTGGAATTCAAACCTTATAATATAAAAATTAAACAAAAATATTAAATAAAATGTCTTCATTTATTAATTATTTCCTCCAATATTTGTTATAAGGCACATTCAATTACTTCAGCGAAATCAATGAGCAACTTTGTCTAAAAATAAAATAAAATTTTAATTTTACCTTTGTTTAAATGAAATTTTTTTGAATTTACATTATATTCTCTCTTATAGTTAATGACTTCAAATAGAATAATATTAAAAAAATATAATTAATATCACATGATATGCCTTACATTAAAGATAAAAAAAATGAGCCCAGAAGGTGCCCTGTGTAAACATATAACTTAAAATTCCATTAACTGCTCAAATATTGAGTATAGTAAATAATGCGATTACTGACCAATAAATTTCTGTAAAATTTACTTTTTTTAAGAAAGAAAAAAATATTTTATGTAAAATAATAACATAATTTTTCAAAAATAGAACCTTACATAAATTTAGCAATCGCAATTCTAGTGAATTTAAATCCTAAATAATAACAAACCTCAGATGTCAATGGGAAAATGGCCCTTGTCTTTGGGCATATCAAAGTGGTAGAGCAGCGAGTAAATAGTAGCAGACATAGGCCAAAGAGAAGCAATGGGCATGCTCTTGCGGTTGGCAAGACCGATAGACCAAACAAGCTTCGTGTCGGCGATTATGGCGGTGACGGGCGGGTCAAGCCGATCCAGAAGCTCCTGGAACGGAGCCTCCATCTTGGTGGAGACGGCGATCATGAAACCCGGAAAGTCCTTGGCCCGATCCAACTCGGACGGAATAACGTTGGGTATGGTAGCGAACCGGACGTTGTCGGGTTTCTCTCCGACCTGATGAAGCCGAGCCATTCCTCGGTGACGACGAAGGAGACGATAATGTCTGGCTTCCGAGAAGCCAGCATGGAGCAGAGGTTCATCATGGGGTTGACGTGGCCTCTGCCTGGGTAAGGCATGGCCACCACGTGGCACACGGGAGAGATATCCACCTGGATGGTGCCCATAGTTGTTCGAAGTTTTGGTGAACAATTAGCTTTCAATGGAAGGGACAGTCTGCCGCCTTTGATTGTACTGAAGGCTCGAGCTCGACTCTGGAGGGAAATGAAGGCCGTGAAAGGGTATTTATAACGTTCGAGCTACTGCGCCAATGCAATCATGCAGTTCCAAGTTGATTGGCAAGAGGGATAGTGGCAACTGGTAACGCCAAACCAACATTCAGAATTTCAGATGCGTGTCATGTAATGTTCTCTCTCTGTTATCCGAAAATAATTAAATTTCACAGCCTGGAAAGTACTACTATATTATCTGTACATCTAAAAAAATATATCTTTTCAATTATATAAAAAAATTATTTATTAAAATTAAATTACTACTACTGTTTACTGTTTATTAGGTGAAGTAGAAATTGTTAGATTTCGCTTGTATTATATTATGCATATAAATAATTTTGAAATAAATTTTATTTATAACGATGAAATTTAATTCTGAAATAATTTTCATGAGACTTTCAAGATTTCGTATCATGCATACAAATAATTTTCTTACTTTTTATTTTATTAATAAATATTTTGTACTTTTTATTTTTTAAAAAAATTAAAAATAAAAATATATTTAGCTGCTCGATTGTTCAGACATGGACCCAGAAAACAAACAAATATACTCTGAACTTCTTCATTATGCTTCTGTATGGCTGCATCACGCTACACTCTGATTGAAGCATGTCACCAATAGCGGGCCCTTCACTTTTAAGAAAATAATAGAAACTCAAACAATAAATAAATCTTTTAGAACAAAACAATAAATAAATCTCAAAAATTGATTGGTAATTAACTAAATTTTCTTCGAAGTAGTACATCTTTCTTGACAAAAAATTGATAAATAATTTCTTGTTTAAATAGTTACTCCCTCTAATTTTTATTAGGTACAGAAAATTGAGCTGGTTATTAAATTGATTAAAATATTGATTCAAATGTTAATGTTTAAAATTATAATTAAACTACATCAAACACGTCTTTTTATGAAATTGATCAAAACAATGATTTGCAGTTCATCATCTAGGTAAATTGACCCATATTTCCATATTAAAGACATCTTTTAGAAATGAAGAGATGGATAATTTTTATAATAAGTCACTTAATATAATATTATTTATATTTTTTTAATATTATTCTTATTTAAATTTATTAAAAAAGAAAGATAATGTAATATAAATTTTGAATTTTTCTAATAAATACATATAACATTGAAAATAATTAAATAAATTTGATGTTTTAGTCACTTCTTCTTAAGTTTGATGAAGTAGTTAAAAGTGTCTTATAATATAACTCAAACAAAGTATTTTCGGGAAGTCTAATTACTTTTTAAATAAATATACACCTTGTGATCTTCAATAGTTGTAATGGTAAACAACAACTACCTTACTAAGATTATAATATTTGTTAAATTCATTCAATTTATCTCAAATTAAAATTTTATTTTCACAATGACCCTAATTAATTACTCAAATGTATTCTTTCTCTCCCTCTCGTTCTTAATGAGAACTTAACTCTATGAATAGTAGAGGGCATTTGTAAAATATATTAATACATCAAACATTTATAATAATGTCCTGTATTTGAACCAATCCAACTCTCTTCCACCCTACAGGGAGTAGACTTTTTATATGCTATAAAAAAATATACTTTTAATTAAATTTTATTTTATATTTTTTAAGGATAAGTTTATAAAAATATATAATAAATATTAGAGAAGTTGAACTTCCATGTTTTCTGTTTTATACTGCTTCTTTAGTTAGTTTTGAGAAAAATGTGAGGTTTTACTGTTTGGGAAGTTACGGCTTGGAGGGAACCAAGTAGAAAAAATTTCATTACCAAAGTTGAATCTATCTTCTCTAATTATTGAAAGCAAAACTGATTATTAAAACCAATCAAGGGATTATTAATTTAAAAGTTAATGGTCAAATTGTAGTTAAACTGCAATCAGATCTATTATAAAAAAAACATGTTGTTAAACTAGTTAAGACATTGGTTTAACAATTTACTTAGTGGCAGAGCAAAGATCCTTAATATAAGAAAAAAATTTTTTTTTTTTCAAATTCACTATTTCTCTTCCTTCTTTCTTTCTTTTTGTTTATTAATTCAACTTTTACTTGCAAACTTATAAGTGCAACAAGTCAATGAAATGTATCCAATGAATTTACTCGAGTCTTAAATCTTCATTCTTCATTATTTTTTTGTCTTATTAGTCCCTTCCTAGTATTTAGGAAGAGGAAAATGTGGGTTTAATTTAGTCAAATTAGGTTTTCTTTTTCTATTTTTCAAAAACATTAATAAATAATATTGTTGTTTAGATATAATGAAATTGTGGGCTAATATTCACTAGGCTTTAAGTTAAAAAAATTGAATTTTAGATCTAGGCTAAAAAGAAATATTAAAATGGGTTTAAAGTTTACAATATTAAAATAAGGAGGTGCAAAATATAAGAAAGGGAGGGTGCAAATTGTAAAATATAAAAACTTATACTCCATGCATCTTATTTTTCCCATATGCCTGCCTCACCCTACATGTGGCTTTGTCACTGGATTTACTAGTTTAATTGGATAGATTAACCTGAATTTCCATATTATACTCCTAAGCAAGCAACTCCATATTGTCTGTTTGTATTATTCCCCATTATTCAAAGGTTGTAAACATATTTTTGTAAAGTGAAATATCAAGATTTTATTAACTGGAAATTTTATTAATACTAGAAACTGTGAATTAAATGAGGAAAATGATAGGGGAGAAAATTAAAAAAAGAAAAAGAAAAAAGAAATGAATGATTGAGCCTAGATATTAGTAAATATAATGGAGGAGGGTAGTTACAACATTGGCATATAATTAGGGAAAGTCAGTGCCCGGAATGGAGTCATTTGCCATTCCTCATCTACAATTATTGCCGTATCATGGGCCAAGTGATCGATCATATGCCTCAACCAACACGTGACAACCCTGCCACCTTATTTCATTCATAACCATTTCCCTCCTCTATCTCAACCCTGTAAATTCGCCATAATTTCTGGTTACACAAGCACGTATAGTCTCCATCAATAATTTTCTTTTTATTCCGCCGTTTGGTATCCTCAAACATTTGGGGTATTATTAGAGCAAATAAAAGTTTAGCCATAGTGTTTTCAGCCCCCCCTCAAAAAAAGCCATAGTGTTTTCACCAAAAAAAAAAATAGTTTAGTCATATTGAGTAGTTGATTCGTAAACTGGTCAACTATTCCTCTAAGGTTCTCCTGCGCCAAAAAAAGTTAAATAAAATTCATACAATATTAATTCTAGCTTTGATCTTTATTGAAATTATGAGTATGTTGGCTTTCAAATGGGAAATACAGTTCAATTGCATCTCTCCAACGACAAAAGCAAATAGTTGAGTTTAGAAAAAAGAATTTATCCTTCATATCACAATAATGATGAATTAATATTTAAATTTTTATTAATACATTGTTATGAGAGGTACCTACATTTTGTATCAAACTGTGCTTTAAATAGGATTATCTTGCTCCAATAAAAGGATGGATGTGTGCAATCAAAATTTCTCTAGCAAAGGAGGCCAATGTTCTCTATATGAAACGAATTATCAATCCTTGAGGGTCCTTGTGCACAAAGAGCTCGTGACTCCAAGCCTCATCTTTTTTTTAAAAAAAAAAATACCTCTACTATAACCCTTCCCTTTTCCATAAAAAATGGAAACACACGTCAACATGTCAATGCTAAATTT